GCCCCCCCCCCCCGTGCCTTAACACACACCCAGTGTCACTTACGTCATGAGTTTTGCTTGTCAGCAACTTAAGATGCAGTTTCCCAGAAATCCCTACACCTATCACCTTGAACCTTGGCAGGCTTCATGCCCTCAGCAGAGGCTACCATCTCTGCAAGTTTCATCTGAATCAGCCATAAAACAACAAAGTTATAGATATTTCATTGATTCCCCATTATACTCTATGGCCAAATCTCCAAATCTCTCCTAATCAGCTCCGAATCTTCTGAAGCTGATTCGGCTTAACCGAATTGGAAAAGCAATTTGAATCTCTGAATCAAATCACTGGCTTCCAAATTGGCTGAATCTGAATCGAATAGTTCCCTATTCGCACAGGCCTATTGTTTAATTGCCCCCTTTATGCACCTAAGTGTCTGTATCCATCAAATGCCTTTGTCTTACACTTGGATTGTAAACCCTTTGAAGCAGGAACCATTTTTTTCTTTGTTCAGTTTCTTACACACTGAGGTTGGACCCATGTTATATGCCTGTACTGCAATACCTATGTTGTGAGGTATGAGTGCAATGCATATAGACTTATCTGAGCTAGCCTTAAATTAGCTACGTCTCCGACCAGTAACAGTGTTCAGGCGTCCACCATCAAGTGTTTACCCAGGCTCCAGGTAGGTTTGTACAGCCTGCACTGAAATCCATGGCTTCACACCTCTACTGCTATTAGTACCCAAAGTAGGTAGTGTACATCCAACTTGGACATATCTACATGAGCTGCAGTACATCTCTGTATTACAGTTTAGACCTATGCCATGGCTAGGGCTCCTATGCTACAGTAATACAAACAATAATAATATTAAAAATGCAGACATAACTTAGGGAATATATGTCTTTGTGGACAATGCTGAAGTGTTAGTAAAATATTATAGGATTTTTTTCAATCTCTTTAACATCTCTTTTGGCCATTCAAAATTGCAAATTCTGAATTACCATGAGACACTAGTCTGGAAGCTGTTAATTAGGTCTGAGAGAATCCTTCCAAATTCCTTTGTAAATTCCTTGAGCTTCCCTTGAGCTGTATGATAGTAAAAAAGTGCGCTTTCCTTATTGTCAAAATATAGTTATGTTGCCCGGCATTCAACCTTTGCTTTGGCATTTCCTGACTTCCAGAGCCAGATTCTGCCACATAACTCGGTTGACTCCAGTAGAGCTACATGAACAGAGAAGCTGGCCTTGAATGCTTAGCACTGAAAAATTAACATCATCTTATGCAGCATTTAATTTTCTAGGTGCTTCAAAAGAAAATAAGGTTAGGGACCACAGGTCAACAGTCCACTTAGTTTCAGTCTTTGACCTTGGTGGCAGAGCTTGTGATTTCTTTCCACCAGTCTGGTTCTCCAAAGGTCTAAGATGAACCCATTATACCAAAGACTCTATCTTTTCTGTATCAGGGCACCATCTTCCTGATCACGACTCCCAACCATGGATGTGGGTCAAGTCGGGCTTACCCTCCAATGCAGTAAGACAACCCTCTGGCACTTGTTTTGATCCCCTTCAAGTTGTGATTCCTAGGTAAAGAACCCCAACTTTAAACTAGGAGGTAATTGTTTGGTATATTTAGAGACCTGGCTCATTAGGTTCTAAATTCTGAATATAGACTCCCAAGTTAGATCCTTTATTTCATAGAGGCAACTATGTTTTCTAAGCAAGCGGGCTATAGATTAGGCTCATGTAAAGTAAGTTTGCACCAAATGATCTACGTCTGATCCTTTTTTCCCCTCTGTGGGTGCATCTACACATGCCATTAAAGTGACGTGATAAAATAGGTGCAATGTTGCACATGTGCATGGGACCACAGCAGTTTGAGCCAAGGTGATGCAGCCTTGGACTGGGAAGGGATCCAAGGAGTCAGCTCCAGGTGCCAGCATTGGGCAGTGGAGGGCTGGCTGGAGTAAAAGGGTGCTAAAGTACAGAGCTAGGCAGCAGGCACCTCAGCTGGCCCCTGTCACTGTCTATATGTGTGTTTCAGCGCACATAATTATTCTGCCATAGGATAGAATTGTCTCCAACAGTGCTATCCTATGGCAGAATTAATTGTTTTACTAAGCCCTAATAATGGTGCATGTGTAGACATTGACTCTTTATTACAGAGCTAATTGGTCAACTCCACAGTAAAGCACACATGTACATGTACCCTGTATGTATTAAAATATATCTTCCTATATTGCCTTCTCCCCTCCATAAAATACCTAAAAATAATATCTTCCTGTATTTCTGTATTTTCTTGGTATTACCCATATGAAAGACAAAGTTAAAAAATACATTTTACCAAACATAGGAGAATAGCATATTTGCTTACCTGAGTGAAGATTGATACTGAGTTTATAGGACAAACCTGGGATCTTACTAAAAAAAGAAAAAAAAATCCTTTCCAATGATATATAGCATAGCTTTTAAGACTTTCTAGCTTCAGAGACATTCTTATTCAGCTGTTTGTCAGTAAGTACTAGAGTGCTTCTCAACTGAATTACTTTTGCTAATGATGTCAGTGAATGCAGGATCAAGCCTACTTTAGTGAATATACATTGATTCCTAAGGAATGTAGATTTACCTTCATTTTCATTTGTGTTCTAGGCCAGTGGTTTTCAATCTGTGATCAGTGGACTCCTGGAGGTCTTCAGACTATGTCTAAGAGGTCTGCAAAAGATGACTACGATCATCAAAAGTATGTGAATATCCACACTTACAATTCAAAGGGGTCGGCACCTCCATTTGAAATATTTTAGGGGTCCACAAGTGGAAAAAAAGGCTGGAAACTACTGTTTTAGGCTGATCTGTTTTGTCTCAGTCCAGATATTATAATTATGGTCACCAGGAATTAGGTTCTCTTCATGTTTTGACTTTTTTGTGGTTTGCCCTCATTCCTGAAAACAGAGCTAAATCAAAGACAGATTTCAGCTAGAACCTGAAAGCTCCAGCTTCCATTGGCTTCCAAAGATTATTGAATAACTTTTTGTTTAACTTAAATTAGATTTGCAGAAGTTCTAAGAAAAGGTCTGTGAGTTCTTATTACTGTCTTGTAGCAACATGTTTTCTAAGCTGAAGTACTCTGTCGGATCACAAGATTTTTCCAAGCCTTTTGATTAAAATGACATTCATCACTTGGGGCACTATCACATATGCAGAGGTAGAGAGCAGGTAACCTGATTGCCCTAACTATACAGTCCACAAAAAACAGAATTGGACAATTTGCTGTAATTTAGAAATATGAATGACTGAATGCATGTACTGCACAAAATTATATATTTTATGTGAAGTCAAGATTGCATGTCTCTAATCAAGACTTAAAGTTTGAGAGATGAAATTGTACCATAATTATTTTCTTTAAAAAAAGAACAAAGTTATAAAAGCACCTTATCTTTTGTTGTGAAAATTTCGAGAATCACAGAATAAGGATGCAATAAATGGTACTAGTGCAAAACTACTGTTATCATTTACTTTAGTCTTGTACAAAATAAAATCATTTAACAATTCACTGAGTACTTTTCTAAACCCCTCCCCCCCCCCAAAAAAAACACCAAACAAACACTCGGCTATATGCAAAGTGTTCTGGATCAAATTTATTTTCTGTATAACTGTATAACTTCTGTATAACTATATTGACTTCAGTTCTGTTACACCAGAGATGAATACAGTCTTCACTCTTTTCAGCTGTTTTTTTTTCCTTTGCCTTGATTTTTTAATTTTCTTAAGCTTCAAGTGTTTAATTAAAATAAAGTTGTATTAATCTTCAAGCTAGTAGCCTGAATGTAACGGTTCCATGCATTTTAGAACAAAGAGAGATAAAATGCTAAATATTGTGTATTAGCAGTTTCTTAGTCTAAGCCCCCTTAACTTCCTTTATATTCCTATTTAGACTCCTTCAGTATCTGAACAAAACTTGGTGCCTTTGACAAAACTATATTAACCCTCATCCGTTCTCACGAAACCATAACCATTTTTGTTCTCATGGGATAGCTTGTTACCCTGCAATTTGACACTGTCAGTCTCATGGGGTAACTTGTTACACCACATGCATGAACAAAATGGAATCAGTGACCACAGTATAAATGTACCAAAAACTACTTATTAAACATACAGGTTGTTTGAAAGAGTATTTATGATGATTTAAATCCAAAATATTATTTAACTAGAACTATGAACAAAATTTAAACTTTTTTTAGGGTTTCAAAACGTGAATGAACAACTTGCTAAGTCTGCAGTTCACACTGTTTTCAAACTAGTAATGACTTTCAAAAACATTTCGTAACTGTTTTAACTAAATATTGCATTCCTCACAAAGCAGCAGTGATGTACTGTGGTGCACACAAGCAAATCATTTACAATCTTTGCATCGTTTCTCAGTCTTGCAGTCATCTGTTCTTGGACAAAAAACATAATGTCCACTCATGCTTGCAGAAGGTTCTGCTGGGGTGCATTGTTGCAATTTGTAGTTTAGGGCAGTCATACCAGAATTGATGGACTTAGACGGATTACATGTATCCATCATTCTTCATTTTATTTGTCTGCCGATCAACTGTTCTCAAACCTCCCGCAAAAGAAAGCGGTGTCTCCTTGAATGTGATCTTTGCTTCCAGTTTGTGTTGTGGCCTAGCCAAATAATAAGGCTGGCAATGGCAGCCACATCCAGCATATTGAAAAATAGTGTCATTGGCCACCTGTTGATTTTCCATCTGCAGGTGGACATATAAACCAAGTGGTTAAGGTTAGCCACCCCACCCTTATTTTTACTGTAGTCATGAATGATGTCTGGCTTTCTTTGCTCCACCCACTGACAGGTCATGTTCCTGGGTAACATTTGGCGAAATTACTTTGGGACACCTGCAAATTATTCTTGTAGACACTTTTTTGAACTCGGGTAGAATTTAGCTGCCTAAGTCCCCAGAATTGTTTCCAACTGACCCTGCTCCAACGACCATACAAGCACTGATGCACCTACATTTATCAGGTGCATTGATTTATGGCCTGGAAAGATACTAGGCACATAAACATAGGTTTCTGGGCATCCTCAGCAGTTATACACTTCAACCACTAACGAGTCAAGATCCCTCTGAAGTTCTATTGTGATCCACATGAGAGCTGGGATATACCCAAAGCCTGCATAAATCATAGTTTCATAGTTTCATAGTAGCTAGGGTCAGGAGGGACCTGAACAGATCATCTGGCCTGACCCCCTGCC